TCCTGCTGATAAAAAAAAATTGTTCTTATATTTTATAACAAATATAAAAATTGGTTGTTGTAGTTTAACTTATTATGATATCGGTTACTGTTAGGAATTTATACCCGTGAAGAAAATATAAATAACTTATAAATTGATGAGTAAAAAGTAAAAATTATAACACCAAATCTACCAACCCAGTGCCATACACCCCACCACACCTGTTTCAAAAATCAAATGCTTCTACTGTAATCATTGTTACTCCAATAGTGTACCATTTCCTGCTTAAAGTTTCTACACTAACAGAAAAACCAAATTGAAAGGAAATGCTTACTTGTTTTATCTGATTATTTTTCACCCAATCAATGAAGACATTAGAGCCATCTTTCTCAACTGCCCCAAGGAATCCATCAATGCATTCTTTTTCCCTGAGTGTTGCATTTGGATCATTTTCCAACCACAGGAGTTCTTCAATTCAGAGAAACCCAAACCAAACAAAACAAATAAGCACATATCCTCAAACCAACCCAATAGTTTTAATGAACTCAAACCATATTAAAGAGAAAGAAAGAAAAAAGTATTGACTTTTGTTGCGATTTCCCTAAGACAAAACTTAGATATAGTTCCTTAGGTGTGGTTAGTGTTCTCTGATCAGAATTAGAATTTTAGTTCAGTAATATTCATTTACAACTATTGCATACATCAATAATATACATTCATTAAATGTACATATATATATCACCGAAGTAAAAGTCCAATTCTGATTAAAGAACAACACCCATTACACATAAAGAACTGCAACTAAATTTTATCCTTCATGTGTCTATACATTTTAATTAAATTTAAAAAGAAAATAGTTACCAGGAACCAATTTTGCTTCATGTGATCCTATAAGGCAGTGTGGTGGATAAGGGTGTTCGGGCTTGTCCGGGTGATGGCAATCAATGAAAGCGAAAATTGGCCACTTTCTCTCAGAAAACGCTTTGGAAAGCCTCACTGATTCCTCCACCATCTGGGAAATTCGCGCATCTGCTTCTTTCGGCGCCTAACATTATTATAAACAAAGTGCATGAATATAACAATAATAATAACAATAGTAGAGAACAAGCGCATCAAAAAATGCCAACGAAAGAGACAAAGGGAGGGTGTGGCCAAGTTAGAAAAGAACAAAATGCTGAAATGAGATTGTATTTACCAAATTGCCAGCTCCAACGGTGCAGAAACCATTTACAACGTCTACGAGGACGAGGCCCGTTTTGATGTCTGGAGACAAAGTCAGAGGTTGTTGCTTCACTGGTATCTCCTCCCTCACCAGCTCAACTGTGTTGGAAGAAACCATGATTCTTGGACCGTGTTGTTTGAGGTGCGGAATAAGACTCTTGACCCAACAACGTTATTAATATATAGAGGCCACAATCTTTATTTAAATATTATTAATTAGAAGAAGGTGCCTCATTTTCAACGAATTCATTGGATGAAAAATTTAAACCGTTGATTGCATTATTTGCCTTCTTTGACTGTGTTGCAATGACCAATTAATGGCTCAGATTTTGGATGATGGTAGTTGTAAGGAGAATTGGATGTAAAAGATCCGTGGTGGGTTAGTCAAATCTCCACCATTACTAATTCAATTAATAAGACAAAATTTAGATCCAATTATTTAAGAATAGTTAGTACTATAACTTAAAAAACCTATACTTAAGTTTTGTCTATTAAGCTTTATATTTCTATTGGATTATGAAACGTGTTGAACGGAGGGGTTGAGTTTGATTTTTATATCTCCATATTTAATTTTGAAATTTTAATAAGATTTTTATTTAATTTGATTAAGAATAGATAATGTATATAAGAAAATAGAACCCCTTATAGTTTTAGTCTATAAAATATATACACATGTATATTATGTATAACTAAAATTTATAATAAATTATATACATAAATAAATATTATATTTAAATATATAATTATATTTAAAATTAATATATAAATAATTTTTAAATTTATGATAAAAATTTGTATTGTAACAAAAAAATATTTTTATTTATTGATAATTTATTTTAAAGCATTAATATATAACCTATAAATAATTATGATAAATAAAAATTAAATTAGATAAGAAGTTAAAATAAATAAATTCATACTGTTCTTACCGGAATTTGGTCGTAGAGGTGATCCGTCCAGTAAGATCGGTGAACCTCCTTCACTGGTACGCTGGTGCTCCAAGATGGGGGTGGTACCTGCAAAAGAGACTCCGATGCTAAAGTTAGTTTTTGTGGGAGTATGAATCTCGTATAAATAATGCACGTACCTTAGTGTGAATTAGGGTTGCTTTGGGCCTTGGGCCTGAGATAAGATATGATAAGATCTTGAGATAAGATATGATAAGATCTTGTGATAAGATATGATAAGATTAGATAAGGGATCATAAGATTAGATAAGGGATGATAAGATTAGATAAGGGATCTCGTCTGGAGCGAGATCCCTTGAGATCAGTTATGATCTACTTAAATGCCGAGCTGACGTCGCGTAGCGCGTGCTCGAGGTCATCTTGCGTTGTGATGCCGAGCTCGGAGCTCGGCTTCGCAGTACGGTCAATACACATACAAACTGTTATGTTGAAAAAAATAACCTTCAAAAAAATTATCGTGCAAGATAGAGGTTCATTTTAATATATAAGGTTAATTAGATTTATTAAATCAACTCCTATATATTAAACACAAAAATCTATTTTGTGTGATTGTAAAGTTATGGCACAAATTTCTTCCATATTTCCTGTTTTAAGGAAAACACGTTTCCTTGATTTTAGGCCATGATTCCATGCATGGTTTCCTCTTTTTTGCTCCTTGTTTTGTTCCAGGTTTCCTTATTCTGGGTGCATACGCTTCTTCTCAATGCCTATATAAGGCATCAAGCATTTGGAGCAAATTGCAATTGATTCAGCAATCTACACACTTGAGAAAAATCATACATAGAGAGGAAAGATTCAAGAGATAATTTTTAGTCTATATTTGAGAGATTATCTCTTTGTTCTCATGATATTAGAGAACTTCTTGTACTCTCCTATTTCTACATAGTGGAATTATCTTGCTCTTGATCGCCCGTGGTTTTTTCTCCGTCTTTGGAGTTTCCACGTAAACTTGGTGTGTATTTATTTTTCTTGTCTCTCTACTTACTTCTCTCTATCTCTAATTAACTTGATCCGGTGCTTCCGCATTCCGCTCATTCTTTCTGATACCCAACAGTGATAGTGTTTTTAAGAGTTATTCTTTGATTTAGGCTAAATTGTACTCTTTCTTCTATTTTTGTCTATTTGCAATTTTAATTTTTCTGTTTTAAAATAAAGATATTTGGTCTTCTTATTTTTAAAAATATAAAATTTTGGTCCTATGTCAATTTAATATTCATTGATAGATTTTAACATCATTTAGTAACGTGGAATTCAATAATAAAAATTAAAAAAGATAATGTACAAAATATCTTCATTCATATTTATTTTAATGAGTAATTAATATTTATTTTATTAATAAATCTTGTTTATATTTTTAAAATTTTTTATCACTAAATGTTATGTCATTAAATGTCATTTCATTTAAGTATGAATAAATGTTAAACTTAACTATTAACTTATGTCAATTTGCTAAGAGGACCGAAATTTCACATTTTTAAAATAAAAAACTAAATGTCTCTAGTTTAAATTAGAGAAATCATGTAAGATCAAAATGAAGTCTAAAGAATCAAAAGACATTTCTAAATCATTTGAAGTGTTATAAGTTTTTATGATAACAAACATTTTTTCTAAATAGATTAGAGTTTTATAAAACACCTTTTATGTCAAACACTAAGAAGTCATGAGTTTCTCTAAAAGAGACAATTTTAGACGACGTAGATGTTATATTTCGTCTGTAAGACGAAATGTACTAGACAAAGTGCATGATCTGGATTAATATTATATTTATTTCTTGTTAAAGAGTCTGATTATACTTTAAGAAGCATTAATACTTTATTCCTTACCGGATCAAACGGAAATCTTCCTCGAAGAGAATGAAAGCTTTCAAAAAGGGAATGTCGAATCATTATGTCAGGATGGAAAGAGAAAATCCCAGATATCACAGACAACACACTAAAAATGACTGCTCTGTACCAGCCCCAACTGCTCTGCACCAGCCCCAACTGCTTTACGCTGACACCACTCTACCATTCTCAAAATAGAGGGAAAACGTGATAAGTAGCTGCCCAGATCGGATAGGAAATACATGCATCTCTGATCATCATTAAATGCTTGCATTAATTGCACCAATGGTAATCCCTATGATCAACCAAGAAGATAGACAAAGTAACACTTAAAGATATATGGACGTTGAAATTTGAATGTTACTGCAATGATCATCTTCTCTAAATCTACTATTTAAAGGTCAAGCCCTCAAACAACAAAAGGTGTGAATGCACAATGTGAATGATAATGGATACAATATGAATGATAAAGTAAGAAGAGTGTGTAAGCAAAACAACACACAAAACAAACTCACGCAGAAAGAATTACAAAGCTAAAGCTCTACGAAGAAGATCTTCATAGCTAATCCTATATCTAGTTCTTTGTAGACTACATGTACTAAAATTGTATAGCATCACATCTAAAAGTGATGAAACTATTCTTGTAACTCTTGTCAAATTTATTTGTAAGGGTTGAGCGTAGAGAGACTAGTTAAAGAAAATACTTGGGTTTCAGACAATAGTGACTTGTAAAGAATACTTAGTGTTTAGTTAGGAGTGACTTGTAAAGAATACTTGGGTTTAGCCAGGAGTGGCTTGTAAAGAATATTTGGTGTTTAGCCAGAAGTGACTTGTGAAGAATACTTGTATCTTATTAGAGATAGTGAAACTCAATTTGGTTAGATTGAGAACTGGATGTAGTATCTAAACTGGAGATGAACCAGTATAAAAACACTTGTACCATTTCGTCTACTTCTAAGTGCTTCGTTTGATCACCCTTCAGTACTTCATCCATTTGCATTTTTATTATTTCATTGCGAAAAGAGTGAGTTTTTTTATATACATTATTCAACGCCTCTCTAGTGCCTATCTTTTTCTCCAACAAACCAAAATTGTGAAATTAAAAAAATAGAGAAACCAAAAACATAATTTAATCTTTAATTTATTGTCTAATTTAAATATTTATTTATTATATTTAATTATGAATTATCATTTAATATTTTTAATGATTGGTTAGGTGAATTGTGTAAAAAATAAGAAGAAAAAAAATATTTTTTTTCAACATAAATATATAGTTACACTCGGTGCCTCTATATATTTATATTAAAAATATTTTTATAAGAAAGAAGAAGAAAACAAAATTGCATGTAATTAATGAGTTCTATTGGTTGGTTAAGTGAACTGTGCGATTATAGTTTTAAACCAAAAGAGTTTGTATGAAGGGTAAAAGATAAAAAAAATAAAAATAAAAGGTAATTATTAAAATATCTATTCCATTTATATAAATATAAATTGTAAATATAATAAATATTTAACTATGCAATATACGATATACAACATAAAATACTAGTTCCTAATTATAACTATTGTTACGTAACTATAAATAAATCAAAAGGCCTAATTACAATCAATGTGTGAATGTAGCTAATTTATTCTTGATGAGTTGACCCAGATTCATTTTCCCTAC